CCAAAAAATAAAATAAAATAAATAAATGCAAATCATTAACAAAAATAAAATAAATCCAAATCACAAAAAAAATTGAGAATAAAACTAATAAAAAATAAAATGGCAAGTCACCAAAAAATAAAATAAATAAATAAAAAAAATCACTAAAAAATAAAATAAATGCAAATCGCCAAAAAATAAAATAAAATCCAAATCACCAAAAAATTAAATAAAATAAATAAATGCAAATCATCAACAAAAATAAAATAAATGCAAATCACAAAAAAAATTGAGAATAAAACTAATAAAAAATAAAATGGCAAATCACCTAAAAATAAAATAAATAAATAAAAATCACTAAAAAAATACAAGCAAGTCACCAAAAAATAAAAAATAAATAAATGCAAATCACCAAAAAAATAATTAATAAAATAAAAAATATATAATAATAATAAATAATAATAATAATAATTTGCAAAGCATAAATAAATTGATAAATAAAAATGACGTTAATGATGACATCACATTCGCCACACACACTCAAGCGAACTAGCGGAGGTGTAGAGTATAAACCAGGCTTTACACTGCAGGTGTGGTAAAATCATCAGTAACTCACAGCGTTCTGGCAGTCCCCATTTCCACTGAGCGGTACGGTTCAGCTCACTTATTTCTGTTCATTTCCACTGTCAAAATGAACCACTCAGTGGAAATCAGCCATGAGTGGTTTGGTTCGGCCTCGTAATCAACAACAGGACACACGGCAGAATCTGCTCTAGATTTGTTTTGAGAAAATGTGTACCCAAAAAGTGGCACAGTACAACTCGCTTTTTGGTACCTTTGGACTAAAATGGACAAAAAAAAAAAGTGTATCCAACCACACTGCTCAGTGCAAACGCGATATTAACAGTGGTAAAGTGAGGTAAATGACGGTAACTGACCGCCTTCTGGCAGTGTCCCTCCAGGATGCCCTTCTCGCGGGACACCCTCATGAGGCAGTGCAGTGTTCTGCCCTTGTGGTGCAGGCCGGAGCAGTGTGTGTCGATCTCTCCTCTGCAGTGCAGGACGATCTCAGGACTCAGAGAATAATCCTCCATCAGCATCCGCCGGTAGTCCAGCATCTCTCCCTGACACTCGCCGCTCACCGTCTGGCCTGAAACACACACACAGCAGGGTAAAACAGGGCAGTACTGCACAACTTTAGTTAAAGGGGACCTATGATGCAGAACCTCCTTTTGTGAGCTGTTTGGACTGGAGTGTGTGCAGTATAGTGTGTGTACTGTCATATTGGAGTGATGGAAACACAAGTCTATTTATTTTTATTTCCTGATGTGAAAATAGGATCCAAATCCCAGTGACTATAATAATAATAATAATAATAATAATAATAATAGTCGTTTAAAAGTGCATATTAGTGCAAATAAATGTTTAACCAGCAAATTTTGAAAGCACATGCAGGCACTCTACGTGAAACCGCTGAGGTAATGGGTAACGTGACTGAGTGAGAATGTGATGGTCAGTTAACACTGGAGTGTGAGTAATGTTTCAGATGACTGACCGCGGTGCACGACCGCCTCCAGACACAGCAGCAGGTATGAGAGTTTGGCTTCTCGAGCGCGGGGCATCGCCGTGTCCATGTTGCAGCGGTATTTACGCAGGTCCGGCTTACAGGCTTTAGCCAGAGAGTAGCTGACCTTATAGTCCTGCACGATCAGCTTCTGTCTGGTGGAGAGAGCATCCTTACACTGCAAACACACACACACAGAGACAAGCACACACACAGAAATGAATACATGGTCGTTCTGTCTTATTAACATTTCCCTCCATCATTATTATAGTTAAATGACATTAGTTATATTACCAGATCATAAATCAAATATAAATGAATGAGGCACATCAAGGATTCAGCAGCACCAACTACTATTGCTGGAGTCCCTTTATAAGACTCATGCATGAAAAATATTACCTAATTTCAGCAATTATTTAAAAAAAAAAAACATACACACACACATACATTTTAATTATATAAATAAATAAAAAATATTATTAATTAAATTATAAAGTAAAAAATAAATAAAATGAAACAAATAAATATTAAAATAAATGTAAATATTAAATATATAATAAATAATAAATATTAAATAATAGTATAGTATATATAGTAAATTATCTATATTACAGATATATAAAATAAATAAACTATAATAATAATAATAAGAATAATAATGAAAACATTAATAAAATAAAACAATACAAATAACTCAAATTAAATAAACAATCAAATATTAAAATAAATGTAAATAAATAGATACTTAATAAATAAATAAAAAATAAGTACATAAAAATAAATTAAATTAACAAATAAATAAAAAGATAAATGCATATATAATAAATTACATAATAATTATAATATATATATATATATATATATATATATATATATATATATATATATATAATTATATGATAATAAAATAAAAAATATATAAATAAAATTAAATATAAAAATATATAAACAATTATT